GATCGGGAGCCCGAGCGGCAGCCGGGGCCGCGGAGCCGCGGGGAGCGCGGGGGCGGCCGGAGCGCGCCGGGGTCCCCGCGCCCGCTCGCTCGCTCGCCCGCCGCGCTCCGAAGATGGTGGCGGCGCCGTGCGCCCGGAGGCTGGCCCGGCGCTCGCACTCGGCGCTGCTCGCGGCGCTCACGGTGCTGCTGCTGCAGACGCTGGTCGTGTGGAATTTCAGCAGCCTCGACTCCGGGGCCGGCGAGCGCCGCGGGGGCGCAGCGGCCGGCGGCCACGAGCTGCCGCCCCCGGCCCCGGCCCCGCGCCGCGAGCGCCGGGACCTGCCCGCCGAGCCGGCTGCAGCCCGGGGAGGAGGCGGCGGCGGCGGCGGAGGAGGAGGACGAGGAGGAGGACGGGGGCCCCCGGCGCGGGCGCGGGGAGGCGGCCCCGGAGAAGCCCGCGCGCAGCAGCCGGCCATCCGCGGGGCGCTGCCCGGCCGGGCGCAGCCGGTAAGATGCCCTTTGGGCTGGCGTCCTGCGGGGAGGGAGGGAGGCAGCCGGCCCCACGCCCCCCAGCCCGAGCCGCGGCCGGCGGCAGCGCACGCCCGCCCGCAGCCCTCTCTCCCCGGGCGGGCTCGGGGGGTCGTGCTGCCCCGTCCGAGTCTGAGGACTGCCCCCTTGGGGTCTGGGGAAGTTATCTCCGGAGGAGGCGCTCTGAGGGCTCCCGGAGGCTGGCCGGGTTCCTGTTCCTCGTCACTCTTGCCGGGCGCCCGACTTGCTCTCTGCCTGTAGGTGTTGGTGCCTCGCTCCCCGCCCGAGTGCGCGGATCGTGCCCGGCGTCCTCCGCTGTTGAGGGGTGGTTCTAGCAGCTGCCTCCTCGGTCTCCGGCGAGTTGGGCGCAGACAGCGGAGCCCTCCTGTGCCCTGGCTTGAGAAAGGCTCAGGGATGGGTGTCCCAAGTCCCTGACCGTGTCCCTCAATCGGTACTCTGTACTAAGTCTGAGGTCCCGGTCTTACTTTGAGCCTCTCGTTTCCCCGTTTGGATGTCTCAGCATCCGGGCTCCACCTTCTCTCCCTCTCACCTTGCCATCTCCTGTGCCCTCTCTGACTTGACCTCCTCCCCGTCTGCAGCTTCGGGGCATGGCCTCTTCTAGCCGATTGCCTCTCTCTCGGTGCTGTGCGTCCCTTCACCGGCTGCCTGTCAGCCCACTGTTCGGGCACCTACCTCTGTGGGTCCTTTGCCCTTGTTGGGTGTGAGCAGTCAGGGCTCTGAAACTGTCTTTCACGGATCTTGTGGGGCCATCTGGTTGGCCCGGTGGGGAACTGCCTTGTCCTACCCTGTCCCCAACTTCTCCAGGGGTCCCTTTCACACATTCTGAAGGCTCCTTGCTGAGCCCACTGAGATGGGGGCTGGAGGTCCGCAGGCTTCAACTCTGGGCAGGGTCCACGCTTTGCATGGGTGTGATCTTCTGTCTTAAGGCACACGGATGGGGATGGGTTGTGTCTGTGTCATCATGCCACTTGCCTGCAGGGATTTGCTTAGTCCCTTAAGGATGTTAGACACGGTGAGGGAAGGGGGGCCCAGGGTCTGTAGGGATGGAACGCTTGTCTTTCGTGGTTTCTCCTGTTGGGAGCCCTCACCCAAGTCTGCCTCTGCACACAGCGCCTTCTGTGCCTTCGGGTCTGCCAAACTTCTTTGGAGTTGACCAGCCCTCCGTGCCAGAGTGTGGCTCTTTGTGCCTGCGGGCTGAGCCAGCCCCAAGATGTGATGTGAGGTATTTCTCCCTGCCCTGTGGGTTGCAGGGAGAAGTCTTCCCCTCACTTGTGAGGAGGAGAGAGTGGAGTGAAATTGCTGACGGAGAACCGGAATGTTCCCATGTCCTGCAGCCTCTTATTTACAGGGGAGGGGACTCAGAGGCGCTGCCTTTGAACTCCTGGAACTGAAAGTAATGTGTTCAGGCAGAAACACAATTAGATGTTCTCTCTGGATTCCGAGCCCTCCCGGGAGGGGGCAGGAGGGTTCAGGAGCACGTCCTGCTGGCCCAGTGTTCTACAAGTAGGGTGGTCCTGGGGTGGGGGAGGTGGGACTGACTGTACCCTTTGCACCTGGGGTTCAGGAGATACCTTTAGGGGTGCAGATACCACCTGTTGAAACAAATGAGGGGGGAGAGATGGCTGGCTGACTTGTTCTCAGGGCCCTGATGACCTGAGCATCCTCCATGACCACTCCTTGTGGGTTCAGGTTAGTGTCCCTGCTCTCTTAAGTGCCAGCTTAGCCACAGATGGTTTGCAGTGGGCAAGGTGGTGGTGGGGGTGGGGAGCATACCAGTTTCTTTTGAAAATTCCTTTTGGAATTCCAGGTGCAACTGTGGAGTTGCTTGGCTTCATTTTTTCTGCAAGTTCCTGTCCCCTCGTTTGCAGCTCCCAACGCCTCAGTCTTCACCTTCTGATAGAAGTATTTTCTTTTTCTTTTTCACTCTTCCCTTCCTGATAGTTGGCTACCATGCTGCGTGCCGTTGGCGATCCTGGGCTTGTGTTTTAATTTATATGTTCCCCTCTCTCTTGTCTTCCTCCCTTTCTGCATCTATCCCTGTGGGCTTCTAGAGCTTGAAGTCACAGCGCATAGGCATACATTCTGGCTGGAGCCTGGGCTCTGGCCCCTTGTAGCTGTGCCCACCCAGCCCCTGCCCTTCCCCTGGACCAAGGAGACCAGAAGGGGGCAGGCTGTTCCCGAAGTCCAGCATAGCTGGTGCTTGGGTTGCAGGCAAGGAGAGGACCAGACCGATTTGCAAGCCACAGAGGCCCTTGCAACCCGCGGTTTGTTTCCAGACCCTGCTGGGGTGGGGTTGGGGGTGGGTTGCCAGCATGGTGTTTTGGAGGGACAACTGGGAGCAGGATATTAAAAAAAAAAAAATTTAAATTTAAAAATTGCTGTGATTTTTCCAGATGACTCCTGTAAAGCGCCACAGAAGCAGCGCTTGGGCAGGGGTGTTCCTCTGTGCTCCGTGTCTGGTGGGGGTGGGGTGGGGTAGACAGCGTTGGCTCTTGCATGGAGAGGGGATCCGATCCGTGGCCTGGGGTGGGTGTGTCGCAGAGTGTCGGGCAGGCCTTGTGCATGGAGCATTTTTCTAAAACAGACCCTGCTGCTCTTGCCCGCTCCGCATGTGTGTGCTTTGCAGGCGCAGGGAGCTGTCAATCTCTGGAAAGAGCTGATTGTATTATTATTATTATTATTTTTGGTGCATTTCTGAAGCCGGGAAGGAGCATCCAGTTTTGCAAGGAGACAGAGTCAGAGGGCACAGGGACAGTGGTGAGATGGGCATGTCCATCAAAGATGTGCAAGCGTCCGCTTTCCGCTCAGCCTCTCGCCTGTTAGAATGATCGTGCCGATTGCAGCTATTTGGTGGCGGCCGTGGCCCTGGTTTTTCCCTGGGTCTCCAGGAAGCTGTGGATTTTATTGTCATCTCAGAATTTAAAAACAGCAGGCTTCGTTATATGGGGAGGGGATATACCCGGGCCAGTGGGGTGCTGTCAGAAAGATCAGCTCCAGTCTCGCAAGCATTGTGGAGAAGATGAAAGAGAGTCACGTGTTAATGTAAAGAATGTTTCTTTTCTTTCCCTTGGTGAATCCCTGGAAGACCTCACAGTTTACTCTTTGTGCCCTTGGATAAACTGCTACTAAGTTTCACTTAAGAAATCTAATTTTTTTGTGTTTCTTTTTCCCTCCTCCACACACACACATAGACACACTGCACTCTCCAAGTTTGATTTCTTTCTTTCTTTTTTTTAACTGACTCTTTTGAAATGTTGGTTTTTCGGCAGAAATTCCTCATACTTCGCATTACTCAGATAACTCAGAGGGCTTTTGCAGACAGTGGCAGTGACTTTGAAAGCTGGTTCACAGCATCCAGACCGCCCCGGCTTCCAGCAGGCTTCCAGCAGGCTTGGAGGCGTAGCTTTTCTTTCTGTCCAAATGTTTTGGGACCAAGAGGACAGAGGGTATTTTACTAATTTTTTTTTCTTTTTTTTTATTTCTTGCTCTCAATGGAGTTTTGTTTTGTCGGAGCAATGCATTACACTTTGTATACAGAAATGTGTATCATTGGACCAATTTATCTTACTGCAAAGGTTCCCATCTGCTTCATCGTAGACTAGAAAATGTTAAAGGAAATAAAGTGGGGATTATTATCAACATATATACATACACAATATGATATAAAATATGATATAACAGAACAGGGTGTAGGTTGAGTGTTCCTTATTTGAAATGCTTGGGACCAAGAAGTGTTTGCAATGGTGGATTTTTAAATTTGAGAATATTTGCATACACATAGTGAGATACCTTGGGGATGGGACCTCAGACGAAGCACAGAATTAACTTATGAAGCACAGAATTCACTTACTTTGCACGTGTCTTTTGTGCACAGAGCCTGAAGGTAATTTAATGTGGTATTTTTAGTGTGCCTGTGTCTCAACTGTGACAGGTCACATGAGGGCAGGCTTAGAATTTTCCCCTTGTGGGGTCGTGTTGGCACTTTAAAAAGTTCTGGATTTGAGAGCATTCAGATCTCAGGTTTTTGGACGAGGGTCGTGCGTGTAGTGAGCATATCCCTCTATCTGTGCACGCACGCGTGTGTGTCTCTTTCCCGCTTTCTTCCTACTGTCACGTTTAGACTCTCTACACCGGTTGGTTTTTATCTTCCAGAAGGTTGGGTGGAGAAGAGCTTGCTGCTTTGCAGACAGGAAGCCAGCTGAGGCATAAATTCTTGCTTCTTGGGGAGGGTCCAACTTTGGTCATTGGTCCTCGTTGAAAGAGAAATTGGGTGGCTTGGGTAGAGCCGAGTTGACATCATTGTGTGCACGTATGTGCCCAGAAGAGAAAAACATCCCCCGGGGTCTCTGTGGCCAGATTTCACCTCCCCAGCTAGAGCTATTTATAGTCAGTGGGGCCACTGGCCCCTAGGAAGGAAGACGGAAATGCACCCCAATGGGTCTGTGCAGGACGAGGGCAGACCTGGCCCTGGCTCTTGGTTAATGCTGCTTTGTGGTGGTCACTTGCCAATCCCTCTCATTTCTTCCTCTGCATCTCCCCATTTCTCGTGACCCCCGATTCCCCATCTACCAGAGACAGAGAAAATGCTTTGAAGACAATAAATAGTAACAAACTCAACCCCAACAAAACCCAAATTCAAAGGGAGGGGGGGTGGGAACAGAGGAAAAAGTCACAGGGCATATGTGACCGATTCCAGCACAAATGAAAGAGGCCTTGTGTGGTGCCCGGTGGCGCACTGCACCTGGGTTCCAATTCTAGCTCTGTGCCCTTCTACCTCCAGCCACGGACAAGTCACTCTTCTCCGTCAATAGGCCACCGAGGCCACCTCCGTGGGTTGTGTGAGGATGGATTCCAATAAAATATGGGTGAACTGATTTGGGCCTGGCACATGCTAAATGGTCCAGTGTGAGCTGCTGTTCTTGACAGGAAATTCTTGGTACATTTGGAAATGAGCATTTTTGTGTGTGATTATTCATTTTCCCACACAAAGGAGGGATTAAGTGAATGCCAGGCCATTGAATGCATCTAGCTCCTTCTGCATGTGCAAGCCTTGAAGCAGGATGGACTGTGGCAGGACAAAGAATACCAACATTTATTGAGCACCAGCTGCATGCCAGGCATAATTCTGGTGGACTGCATACATTATTTTATTCAATGCTCCCCCAAAACAGACCTACCTATCTATCTCCAGGAAGGAAGAGGCTGTTACCCAACTTATACCAAATTGTGTCTAAGAACCCCTAACTAGAAATCTCTGGTCTTAGGATTGCTGATTGTGTGGCAGAAATAGAAGGGAGCTTTGTGGACATTATCTCACTGTCTCGCTGAATCCCCCCGAGCTCTATGGGATAGGGCTGTTGCTGTCCCCATATCACAGATGAAGAGACCGAGGTTCAGAGATGGAAAGCTGCTTGTTCATTAAGATCCCAAAGTAGGGGACTAGCAGAACTGGGAGCCACACCCAGCTCTGCCTCCTTCCCAATGCCGCGCAGAGTTCTGAGTTCCCTCTCTGCACAGTTCTTGGATAAACCCTCAATGCAACTTATCTTTTTTCTAAAAATCACTATACCACTCTTCTCACTTCTGACTGCAGATTCCTAAAAATGTGCCAACCCTAGAGAAGCAGCATATGCACCGTTTGCTTCGAATCCGCCCCCTAAATAATGATGCAAACCGATGGGCCACGATAGCAGTAAAACCCATTTTTCACTCTTCACATTAACTTCTCCAGTTATAGGATTATACTTGCAGCAGCCAGCGGTCATGGGGCTGACCGTGACCAGGCCCTGTTGTGGATGTGTGCAAACATTAACTCCTTGAAACCTCCTGCTACAGAGAGGAAGCTAGGGCACGGGGCGGCGAAGGGACTTTCCCCAGGGTGCACCGTCTTCCGTGGCAGAGCAGGATCTGAACCCATGCAGTCTGCGTTCCTAAGGGCTCTGCATCCTCCGTCTTCTCAGCATCTCGTGAAGGCGTGTGGCTTGGAATCCCAGAGCGCATGTTGATTCCTTCAAAAAGCCCAACCCCAAGGATGGGATCTTAGTTTTTAAGAATCTTATTGCCTTTACTGAAGGTAACACACACAATTACTGTAGTTAAGCACAGGAGCATATCCATCATGTCACAGAGTCACCCATTCTTTGGGGAGGGGGCAAGAGCACCTAAAATCTAATCATTGAGCACAAATCCCGAGTCCAGTAACCGAGGACCGCCAGGCTAGGCGTCTTGTTGTAGGTTAGACTCTGGACTTGCTACTTTGTGTCCTTTGACCCAGATCTCCTGATTTCAAGGCAGAGTTTTATGGTTCTAGAAAAGAAAGTGTCTCCTGTAGTCCAGGAGGCAGGGAGCATGCCCGGGAAGAATTGAACCTGAACGAGGAGTTGGCCGAGGAGTTGGCCCGAGGAAGCAGGTTGGGATTCGGCTCTCGGCAGGCGGGCGGGGCAGGAAGGGGCTGTGCAGGGCCCGCTGGCCAGTGGGGGGTCGGTCCCCACTGCTGTTCCTGCTGCCCCCCCCTTCGGGTCAGCTGCTCTGTGGTTATCTCTACAGGAGCCCACGAGACCTGTCCCTGACAGCTGGGGTGACAGGGACGGGGCAGTGACATCTATCTCGGGGAAGGCGCAGTTGGGATCTGGTGAGCACTTCCTTCCGCCTGAGCAGAAGCCGTCCGTTTGCCCGCAGACGCTCACCGGGTTGTGCCCCTGCGATGCCTGTGGTTAGGTGGCCCCTCCCCCAGGGAAGCCCGAGATGTCACAGAGGAGGGTGGTTGTCACCTTCTCTCAAACAGGGAAACCAGCTTTATCAGTCATCAGAGAGTGGAGCCAGCTGGATACTTGGAGGAGGGACCCATTCCAGCCCTTCGGGGGAGATGGTCTCTGAATTCAGGGTCCCCTGAGAGCGATGAAATGGGCTTGTGTCCTCTGAGACCTGGTTTGTCCCCGCCAGGTGACTGGCTGGCTTAGTGGAGCATCTGATCCAGGCTGACGTGTCCGCGGATGGTGACGGGGTCCTGTGAGCTGCTGTGCCTCTCTCCCAGGCCGCAGGCCTGCCCGGGAAGCAGAGACGGGTGTGTGGCCCTCCTGCAGCCTGAAGGAGTAGAGTAGGGGACCGAGAGGTTGACACCAGGGCTCCCCACCCAGGGGAGCAGACGTTCAGGTGGTGACTGTGATAACAGTGAGCGGGGGGGGGGGGTTTCCTTCCGCGGAATGTTTGCCTGGCACCGCCCCCGGGGGGGGGGGGGGGAGACTAGGAGGACCAAGCCTCGCTGGATACAGCAACCCCCAAGTGAAAGGCTGCTACTCTCTCCTGTCACCTGTTTTATTGAAAATAATAAGAGCCAAGACAATAGATTGCATAAAAGTTAAACTTCCAAGAAGTGGCTGGAGTAGGAGTTGGGGTTCCGTGGTGACTCTGATGGCTGTTTTCTTAAGTCTTTGCCCAACTCAGTCAATAATGTCTCAGCCTAGCTTCACCTCGGCCCACCCTGCATCCGTTCATGCCTGCATGAATATATCCATCTGTCTGTCCATCTGTCATCCACCCACCATCTACCATCCACCCATCCACTCATCCATTCATCCGTCCATCCATCCACCGTCTATCCATCCACCCGTCCATCCGTCTACCCACCCACCCATCCTCCACTCCAACAGAGTGGGCCAGGCCCCGGGCCCAGCACAGGGACCACCTTGGTGAACAGGAAGCGCGTCCCTCCAGCCCTCCTGGAGGCAAGGATTCGGGGTGCACTTCTAGGTGCCCGTCACAGTTGAGGTTCCTCTCACATGTCTGCCCAGTTCTTGCTGCTGATCCCCTTTTCCCATGGTGGCTTTGTGGACCCCAGAGGAAGGTTTCCTCTGGAAAGGTGGGAGAGAGAAATAGCATGGGCCAGGGCTCATGAAGGTGACAGGTCCCCGTCACCCCAGAACTGGCATTCCTGAGGCCTGGACCACCCTGCTCCTGGGGTCCAAGGTCTTCATCTTACATCTGAAGGGACAAGCCGGGAGATGTGGGGCAGTGCCAGGCGGAGGCCCAGAGGCTGCCTGTGGGGTTCGGGGCGGGGCGGGCCCTGGCAGCGTCTGCTGGACCTGGCACGCCACTTCCTGTCTCTGCTTCCTCATCTGCAGCTTGGGGCCCAGGAAGGCACCGACTCACAGGACTCTGTGACCAGGTGTCACTGGGCCCACCCTCCTTATCTGCTCTGCCTCCTGGTGACCACACCAGGGAGACGCTTGCAGGAGGGGCCTTGGATCTGCCCATGCACGGTGTCAGAACCACCAAGCACAGAAACGCAGGGACGGGTAGAAGTCCTGAGATGTGCCAGTCCTGGGTCCTCGTCCCTGCTTGGAGTCTAATGGCCATGCTGGGAAGAGTCGCACCCCAGACCGTCCAGTCCCCCAGACCCACCTCCACCTCCTGCAAGGTCCCCGGGCACTTGTGACACGGGACTGGCCCCTCTGGGCTGCTGAGCTTGCAGCCTGTTTGGAAGACCTCTCTTGTCACTGGGAAGAGCCAAAAATACCTGTGGTCACCTGTCAGCTGTCCCCTTGTGCCATATTCGTAGCATTGATTCTCCCTAGCTGCGGTGGCCCTCCCTGGGCCTGGTGGAGGATTCCTCCGCTTCCTCCTTGCCCTGGGGGACACCCAGAATATGCAAATTCTCACGGCATCAGGCCATCGAAGGGCGCACCTCCTGGACAAGAGTGTAGCCCCGCGATCCTGTGTGTGCTCAGCCGGGTTCCCCTTGGTGGGGAGCGTGGGGGTCAGGGTGGCTTACGTCATCCTCCCCCCAAGGTTTGCCCATGCCCTTGCACCCCGAGGAGCTGTGCCCAGGGAAGCTGGGAGTCATTGGAGATAAGGGCAGGGGGACCCGTAGAACATTCCAGAACACGTTGACTCTGATCCTAGCCCCGTCAAGGATGATCTGTGAGTTCAGCTCTTTGTGTCTTTGTGGCCAGACAAGGCTGATAAGCCCACCTCCCGCTGTGGGTCTGGAGGGTTCAATTTGATAAGCGGATGGGAAAGTGCGTGGACGCTCAGAAAGCCCCGGAGAACCGCAAGAGGGGACTCATTCTTAAAAAAGAAGACGGTCAGGGCTGGGACCTTTGTCCCCCTGCCCCCCACTCCTGCACCCGCCTGTGGAGTCAGCACACGTGGGTCACGGGCCACTGTGTGCCCAGCTCGGTGTGAAATAGGGGAGCACAGGAGTGCGTCTGCTCTCCTGGGGAGGACCCAGTGGACGGACTGACTTGTTTGCAGCACGTGATGGCAGCAGCTGAGGTCCCGAGAGAAAATTAGAGGCCGTGGTTGAGGGTTGATTTTGGACGGGGAGATGTTATCTTTCTTCCTTTCTTTACTTACTTTGGACTTATTTCATATATTATTGGGGGTGAGGACTTCTTTGGACGGCTGGCTTTTGCCAGAGTCGTTACAGACGAGCTCTACGGATCCCAAACGCAGCGTGGACACTGATCTCAGTGTGGCACTGATTACAGGGGTGACCTGGGCAAGGGTCCTCAATCTAACGCGTTTTATAGTCTCTATTCATGTATTTCATACGGGTACAAAATTCATTTAGTTCCTAAATCTTGTATATGTTCTTTCAACTGCCTTTCTTTCTTTTTTTTTTTTTTTTGGTACCAGGGATTGAACCCAGCAACTCTAACCACTGAGCAACATCCCCAACCCTTCTTATTTTTTACTTTTAAGACAGGGTTTCCTTAAGGTACTTAGGGCCTTGCTAAGTTGCTGAGGCTGGCTTTGAACTTGCAATCCTCCTGCCTCAGCCTCCCAAGCCGCTGGGATGACCGGCGTGCGCCACCACGCCTGGCTAACATTGACATTTTCTGTTTTTCTTTTGATGATTTTATTTTGAGACAGGGTTAAGTTTCCTGGGCTGGCCTCCAACTTGGCAATCCTCCTGTCTCAGCCCACTGAGTCGCTGGCATTACAGGTATGTGCCACTGTGCCCAGCTTACCTGCTTTTATGTGTGTGTTGTTGTTGTTTTAGCCAAAAAGTATTCTATGCACATTTTCCCAGGTGTACAGCTTGGTAAGGTTTGACAAACTGGTCACACCCCAGGAACCCACAGCCAGAGCAGGAAAGAGCACTGACAAGATCCCAGGTGCCTCCTGCCTTCGCGTCAGGAGTGACCATCTTAAAAGATTGTTGATAGCAGTGTATTCCTTTAAATGTGTATTAGGGGAAATACATAAGCGTAGTAGCCATTCCATCAAAATGACACATTGCTTAGCCTGTGGGAAAAGTGGCGTTGAAGAAAAAAGAAGTTAGTTAACAAAGTGAAGATGCTGAAGTTGTAGAGCCAAGTGCCAACCCGGATTCTAACCTGGATCCCAGCTTGGTTTGGTGAATGACCATCTGGGACGTCCAGAATGGCTAAGGTTTGGGAAGCACCGATGCTTAGACGGCTGGGAGATCTTTGGCTCTTCTGGTAAACAGCTGTGCTGCTTTGTTCTAAAGTTCAAGTGGGAGGGGTTGAAGTTAGACATTAGGAGGGACTGTGCTCTGGCTCCGCTTGAGTGGAAGTCCCCATCATGGGCCTGCTCAGTGGTCTCAGTGGCCATCTGTGTTGCTCCTACAGTTCTGGAAACTGATTGTCCCCAGCACAGCTTCTGTGACTGGGTCTGGGCTCCTCTGCTGTACCCTTTGGACTTACCGCCGTGCGTTCACTTTCTGTTGAATATCCGTACCCTGGTCCCCTACATGGCGGACGTGTAACTAGCCATGATGAATGACCGTGTTAACCCCTAAAGGACACTGTCATTCTGAGCCAGGCAGCCGAGCTACGCTGGACATTCGGAGCCGTTCCCAAAGGCAGGAGACCTCTGGGGAGCTAGCCCCCAGATGCATTGCCCCGTGCATCACCAGCCATCGGAATTGATGGCCACTTCTGTCCCTGAGCCTCCAAGGGCGACCCCTGTCCTGACTTCTGACCCCCACCAGTTATTTTGTGTCTCCGTTTGGGAACAGAATCCCTCAGTCTCATCCCGGCTTAAGGCCGTGTCCATGAGAGTCATCTGTTCCCGAGCTCAGTAGGCCACAGCCCCTGGGCCTCACCCGCCAGCTGCTTCCATAAGACCTGTGAGCTCAGAGCAGATTTTGCATTTGTAAATGGTTGGGCCAAAAAAAAAAAGAATTTTTCATGACATGTGAAAATGACATTTGTGTCTACCAATAAAGCTTTATTGGAACGCTGTCCCGTGGGTGCCCTTCCAGGCTGGCCGTGACTCGTTTGGCGCCACCGTGGCTCAGTGGAGCCGGAGACTGTCCCGCGGAACTTAAAACACGCACTCTCCAGACTTTCTAGGAAAGTGTGCTGGCCTGGTGTCTGCAGGGGTCCTGGGACTGTGGGACTGTCCCCGGGCACTGCTGTCCCGCTGGGAGGCAGCACAGTGGACATCTCGATCCTGCTCTGGGCACACGTGGAAGTTCCCGGTTTGGGGCCACCCTGCGTAGCGTCGCGGTGGCCACTCCTGTGCGTGTCTGTTGGTGACCTGTGGCACACACTTCTGCTGGGCTTCCCCAAGGGAGCAGGAGTGTTTTGACCCTGGTTTTCAGCCGTTGATGGGGCAGTTGCATTTGCAGTTGGGAGCCTCACCTTTCCTGCTAGGGCGGGGAGCTTGGGGACGCTGTCCTCTGTCTGGCAAATGGGAGAATCCTCGGACCCGGGACGCGTTCCCAGGTGGATGGCTGTTCCTCCATTTCGGTTTCTTGGAGGATGCCAGGAACTGCCCGATGGTAACTGCTCTCGTTGCCTTTGGGAACCGTGCCGTCCTCTGATGTCTCATAACCAGAGCCATCTTGTCCAAAGGGCTCTTATCTTGATGCACAAAACAGGGCTGGCAGAATGAGGCTCCCCCCCAGTCCCTGTCACTTCCTGGTTTGATTGACGTCTGTTTATCTCCGGCTCCTCTGGTTTTCTTGCTGGGAAGCAGATGAACACAGCCTCCCAGCCCCGCTCGGCCCTCGCGCCCTCGGTGCATGCGTCATTCTACATCCAGACGCTGGGCTGAGATGTCCCCTGGGGGACTGTGGACGTTGCGTGCAGGGCCACAGTGTGAGCGCAGGAGACCCCTGAGGAGCTGCCTTCCTGCACCTTGTCAGCGCCACTTAGCACACAGGGTCCTGCGTCTGGCTCTGACGTGGCCCTTCTCCACTTGCCGCCCCACCTCTGCGGGCCCAGCCTCCAACAGCCCCGGGAGCAGGAGGTCAGGAGGCTCTAGGAGCCCCTCGGCTTCCAGGTTCTCTTGGCACTGGCTGGGAAAGGGACTTCACGGTCCTTCTGGAGCCTGTCACAGAGTCACATCAGCACGGCCCCCCAGCCACCCGCCTGGCCAGCACTGAAGTCTGGCCGTGTCGGGCGCCTGTCCTTGGGCTCTGCCCTGAGCAGTGAGCAGACTCCGGCTGTCACCGGAGAAGGCGGCTGGCGGCGGTCGCGGTATTTCTTTTGGATGAAGTTTGGATTATGTGCTGGAAGGGCTAGTGGCCTCTAGACCCAGTGGCAGCCAAAATCTGCTATATTTGATGCTGTCTCGGGACGCTTCATTTTAGTTTTTAAAACAGGGCTGCTCAGCCGCAGTGCCACCCTGGGTTCTGAGCCCAGGGTCTGGGATTCCTAGACGTGAGGCGCTGGACCCTGGATTCTGGTTGTAAGGTCCCCCCTGCAGCTTGATTGTTTGTTTACTAAACATTATGATTGTAAGTATTCCTTGGGACTTTTTACCAAAGGGGTGTGTGTGTGTGCGTGCACGTGTGTGTACGCGTGTGCGCGTGTGCGCCTGTGCTCTAGGGGCGTCGTCCTTATAAAGACTGCTCTCTGGATGCTTTAAGATGGCCTCATTGAAATCCATGCTTAACTTGATCTCAGACAACAAATGAGCAAATGTGTAAACAAACAAACAAACAAAAAGCTCCTAGATTTCCAACGTAGGGCTCTTCCAGGCCTCATTCAGAAAACAGGGAGATGAGTTAAAATTTAACCTCTACAAGCTCCTCACATAGAAAGCTAACCCGAGAGAACCCTTCTACATCACTCTTAGGTCAGAGAAGAAATTAGGTTGGACATTGCAGATTACTCAGTGTTTAATGGAAATGAGAATCCCCCGTAGGACCCG